TTAGACTTGGCAGTTTGACTGAGGGGTTGACCAAGCTGTCACATTTTTGGCCGCCATTGTGGGGCCCTCAAGCGTTGAAGGATCGAAGGCCCTCTCGCTTGAGTCTGAGTGTGTCCTTCCTAAGTATGACAGTCTTACCACTTTTCATCCTATCCTTCTTACTCTAAGTCTAGTCCTTTGGCTCTGAGAGGAAGGCGACAGGCCGGCGTGTGGCCCGTAACCCGCGCCAAGGCCTTTGTGGGAGGTTGCCCCACCGATTGCGGGAGCTCTGCCGGGACTCAGGCGGAGCCCTGGAGGCAGGGAACTGAGTGGTAATCCCCTGACTCCCTCTATAAACCCAGCTATAGCCCCTACTTGTACATCTATCTACTTTTGACTGAGTGTATTGTGTGGACCCCGTACTTGGTTTTGAGTTTGACTCTTAGGACATAAGTCAGATTGAAGTAAAGGAATGTATGGGCGATCTCAGTTTTAGGTTCTTGATTGCCTGAAAACAGATTGTGACTGAAATGGGTTGCATATGGGGGAAGCTTGGGAGAAAGGCAGTATTGTATGCAGCCTGGCTGGGTCATTCAGGCTGGGAAGTCCCCATAAGTTTGGGGAAGCCCAGCGCTTTGTTTATTTTTGACTTGCATGGAGCCTCATGCCGCTCTATAAGTTTAGGTAGCCTGAAGCTCTGGAGGCAGGGATGTCCCCATAAGTTTGGGGAGACCCAGTGCTGTGAACTGTATGGAGAGTCAGGACGCTCTATAAGTTTAGGTGACCTGACTGCTCTGACTTGCGAGGGTTGATTGTGCTGGATTTTCAGGGGCTCAGGGCGCTCTATAAGTTTAGGTGCCCTGGGTCGCCTTGTTTGTTTGGGAGTTCTGTCAGTTTCTTTGGTTTTGAACGAGGAAGTCTGAACCGCTCTATAAGTTTAGGTAGTTCAACCCTTCTCCTGTTTTGTTCAAAGGGAATAATTCTGGCAGGGGACAAGTCGTTCTATAAGTTTACGTAGCCTGCCCCACTGCCTAGCACAAATTGGATCAGAGAGGAACAAACTTGGCAGAGGATCAGACCGCTCTATAAGTTTAGGTTGTCTGACCCAATGCCTCGCAGATGTTGGAACCTAGTGGATATAACTTGATTATACTATATTACTATGCTATTACGAATAGGCTGGCCAAGCCGCTCTATAAGTTTAGGTAGCCTGACTATAGCTTATCACAACTGTAGAGAGTATAACTAAGAGATATAACTGGAAGTAAACCTGGGCAGGCTGAGCAGTGTTCTAAGTTGAGTGGTTGAGCCCTATGTCCCCTTTTAAGACTAAGTTCAGAGAGGTATATATAACTTGGCTATTTAAACAGTTCAAGGCGACTGGAGTGGTCTAGTCGTGCGCCCAAAGAAGAGAAAAGTAGTTGTGTCTTCTGTTTGTGTATAGCTGTCCAAGTCAGAATGCTCTATAAGTTTAGGTATTCTGACTTTGAGCCTGGCTAAGTTGGGCGCGCTCTGTAAGTTCAGGTGCCCCGACCTATGCCTTATGTAAGTTGGGTATAATGGGATAACTCATAGAAGGAGCATGAACTATTGTTTGTTAAAAGAACTTTGGATGGTGAGAGTACCTACCTCTGTGGTTTGGCTTCCATGTGGCTGAATGAGGTGACTACTTAGTGTGGGTGTCAGTTTGATAGGTAGTTGCTTTAGCTGCTCGCCACGTGCTAGAGCGATAGGAGCTAGCTTCAATTCCTGCATTTTCTGTAATGACTTTTTTTTTACTTAGGTCGATTCTTGCATTTTCTGAGGTCTTTTTTTTATACTTGGCTTTGTATAAATCTTGGCAAGTTACTTTCTCTACGGGAAGCGCTGCCGAAATTTTTACAAATCTAAGGAGTTGGTCGAATTTTGACTTGTCAAAAGTTCACTTTGTCTTTTCTTATATCTGGCTTAGTAAAAATATGGAAAGTCTCCTCTTCTAAGGAGAGTGCTGCCCAAATTTTTGCTAATACAGGGAGTTAGGCTAAAAATTGGACTTTGAGAAGTCAAAGTTACTCTCAAATTCTGAACTTAGCTTTGTATAAATTTTGGAATAGCCCTTTTATAAAGGGCGTGCTGCCGAAATTTGTGCAAACTTAGGAGTAAGTTAAATCTTGTCTAAAGTTGAACTCGAGTTGTCCTTTGAGTTCATATCTGACTTAGTATAAATGTGGGAAGTTTCCCTTTCTAAAGGGAGTGCTGCCCAAATTTCTACTGATTCAGGGAGTTAGACAAAATTTGACTTACCAGAGTTAGAGTTTATTTCTGCTTTCATAGTTGGACTTATATGAATTCTGAAAAGACGTTTTTCCTACGGGAAGCCCTGCCGAAATTTTTTCAATTTAGAGGAGTTAAATTATATTTTGATAGGTGGCGGTTCTGGCAATTCACCCTGAATAGGGGAGATTCTGTCATTAGTCTACCTTTGCTTTGGGCACTGGCTTAGAGGCAGACTTGGACTTAGTTGGCGGGTAGCTTTGAGTGAGAATGTGCTATGGAGGTTTATCCCCCATATGATGATGATTTAGCTTAGACATTTGACCTATCTTGTGTTACAGGTCCTTTGGGGTGTCTGATTCAAGATCAGGACTAGATTCAGCTTGATCCCTTAAGGATCATCTTCTGTTATCACTAATAACATGTCGGTTGTCGATTCGTCGGTCTTCGACTCAATTCCAACTCACTCCCCATACTCAACCTAAAAAGTTTTAGCCCTGGTGGTTTTACTGTTTGTTAAGGGTTTCACCCAGACTTTTATTGAATGAGCATTTAACAAAGGTACTGAGCATTTAATTGAGTTTGGTTGGATCGGCAGTTGGGGCTTGCATGGCTAAAGCGAAGGGGTATGAGCATAGAGAATGATTGGGGTTGACTCCGTGTAGTGCGTGTTTGTCATTTGATTCTTGATGTGATTGCAGGTATGTCTTGTGGCTCAGATTTTGGATTTGGATTGCCTGCGATCCCATATACATACACATGGTTGTGAGGAGTCCCAATGTGCCTTTGAGAAGTGATCGTCGCAACTCTATCTCCTTATGCGTATATGCGTGCGTGTGCTTATGATGAATATTTAAAAGGCCTAAGAGGTCCGTGGTAAAATCCCGTTTAAAGGCTGAGGCTGAGGGACATGGAAGACCGTCCCTTCTGCCTATTTGCGTCTTGAGGTTTTCTTAGTCGGACGTTGGTCCTGGGCCGGGATTCAAGGTCCTTGTCTAGGACATCCCAAGCCCTAGACTTTGCAGGGGAGGAGTTTCCTCTCGCACAGAGCCTAATTACTCTGGCCGGCGAGACACCCCACCTTGAAGGCGGAGATGTCGCGGGGGCCGGACGGCGTGTCCTTCAGTCGTTCAATATCGTGAGGGGTGACCCCTCGCGATGTGTTCCTTCAGCCATTCAATATCGCGAGGCCGGAGTCGCGGTTACCACGTACGATTGGCATCAGTGGTTGACATAGAATTGGCCTGCGGCCACGCAACTTTATGTTAGAGTCCCGCGCACGACGTTTCGCCGCCCTAGCGTCTAAAAGTTATGGGATCGTCGGGCTCGCACTTAGGCGCAGCGCTTGGGATTACTATGGGCCGCCGACACCACCCATAGAGGGGAAGGGTGCTCCAAGGTCACGAGTCCTTTTAAAAGCCAGGGGACCTTTGCCCTATTCCCTCTTTTTGGTTTCGTGCGTGCTTTGTTTGCTTTTTAGAGATTTTTATGGTTGGACGTTGTAGTCCGTGGCAGCCGTCAAAGTCAAATCCCTTGATTTTCGCCTAGGCCTGGGGAGGACTTACCCCTAGGCCGCAAGAGACGACCACCACCACAGGCATGGGTCTGTGTACCACTCACTCTGCATAAGGGTGCAGAAGAGGGTGTGTGGTCTCCAACCACGCATGGCGGTTGTCTGGCGTCGAGAGATTAACCCTCAAGGCGCGTGTCAACCGACACTTAAGTGTCGAACGCGACCCTCGAGATTAACGGGGGCCGCGCGAGTGTGGGTACCACATAGTACACCATCATCGTGACTGCTTGCGTACGCTTGCATTACGAGCCGATATGAGTAGACCCTGCGTCCGCGCAGTTTTATACTAAGTCTCGCGCGCGACGCTTGTCTGATTTTTCCGCAGTGGAAAGTTATGAGACGGCTACTAAGGGGCTAGGAGCGGTGTCGCGTTGTTTGTGTTGTATCGTGTTGACGGTGTGCGTGCGTGTATGTGTGTTTTATTTTTGTGTTCGTAGAATGGTGTGCGCGTGGTGTGTGGGGTGCGTCCTAGTCGACCGACGACGAGTCGCGCTTGGGACCTCAGCCCCCCAAGATGTCGGTTCGTGCGTGGGTCCGGCGTATTACTGCGCGTACCCCCTATGCTACAGCGAACGGGAAACGCCCTCGGCTGGTCCACCTCTGGGATTGTAATTGATTAGCTTTCGTACTGTGGACTGGTAGCTCAGCGGGGATACGCCCACCGAAGAGAGGTGACAGCTCCCGTAAGGTGGAGGTAAGTTGTGCCTCGCGTAGGCCCTATCTGTTGTAGGGGCTCGCGAGAGGTATGGCTGGCGCACTCGATGGGAGCGGCCTAAGGAAGCTCCAGTTACGTGTTCGTGACGAGGTCGGTCCAACTCCTGCGTGACGTGGCCGAGAGGGTCCGGCGCTGTCACGTGCGGTGCCCGACCGATGCGCATGACAGGTGGCGCCGTTGCCGGGGATAACGGAAGCCTACCGTTGTCCCTGGTGGAACGACATCCGGGTATGGGAATAAGAGAGAAATTAGGCATATGATTGAATAAGAGGAGGGCTTTGAGATGTACTGTACGATGGTCTATATGACTGTGAATTGAATGTTTGACTGATTGGCGGCTTGGCTGATGGCGTGGGTGGGGCGAATGTGTGAGGAGACCTTATGGTAAGGATAGGCCCATCTAGGTACCTAAAGGAAATGGGAAGAGAAATGTCTGCCAGGTCTAGAGCGTCGGATGTTTGAGGGGTCAACCCGATAGGGTCGTGAGGGAATGAACTGCTGAGTGGGGCCTTTCGTCCTATCGTTTCTTATAACAGGAAATTTGAAGCCGGAGGCGGTTGATAAAAATGCCAGAGGAGATGGGGGACGGTGGGAGGAGGCTTGTGACACTCGACGACCTCATCGATGCCTTGGACAAGCGCGAGAGGGCGCCGAGTAATGTCCCAAAGGTCGAGACATTCCATTTCAAGGGGGATCGGGTATCTGACTGGTTGGATCTGACAGAGCAGGCGCTGGTAGGGCTGTCAGATGAGGCTAAGCTCCAGCGGGTTCTAAGGTACGTCCTGCATAGTCACCATCGGGAAGTAAGGTCGGTCGTGGACGCCGCCAATGACAGTTGGACGAAGTTTGGGGACCTGATGCGGAGGAAGTACAGGCTGGGGGATGGCCTGTTGACCATGGCCGACTTGGAGGCCATGGATAAGGAAGACTTCTCTACCATTGGGGCGTTCGTGCACGAATTTAAGAAAAGGGCGAGGAAAGTGCACGGGATTTCGGAGGAGGCGCAGTGCGCCACATTTCTGGGGTTGCTTATGGGCTCGGAGGCCACAGAGTTGACAAAGTATGGGGAAGGGAGTGAGAGGCTCACCTGGGCAACTATTGACAAGGGAGTGGAAGAAGGGAGCCTAGACCAGGTGAAGCAGCACCAAATGAGGTTGCAAAGGCGTAAGAGGAAGGAGAGGGATGCTACTGCATTGGGGACCTCAGGGGTGAAGAGAACCGTCACGGACGTGTTAGCGGCACTGGGGTATGACAATGAAGAGGAAATACAGAAAAGAGGGGTGATAGTGGCCCAAGGCCAGGCGTCAGGGGCAGTGGATGAGGAGGCTGGGCAGAAAGACTACAGCGGAGGGGAGACGGGTTCCCAAGCCCTGACTAAGGCCCAAAGGAAGCAATACAACCTGCTGCTGGGAGGGCAGGGGTCAGGGAAGGGGCAGGCTCCCCAAGCCATTGCCGCACCACCGCCTGTCGCTGCGGCCGCGCCAGCGCCAGCACGACCATCGCACATGGGGCCGCCACCAGCTTGCGGGCACTGGGTGCCGCATTGTCAGTCTGCGCCCTGGCCCAGTTGCAACCACTGTGTCTCGTGCGGAGGGAGTCAGGCCCACACAGGACACATGGTCCCCTATGCGGGCCCATCAGCAAGTATGGGCCCCCCGAGCTACCCGGCGACTCAAGGCCAGCCTGTGGCCCAACCGCCGCCCTCCCAGCAGGCCTCGCAAGCTAGTGTGGTCGGGGGGAGGGAGTCAAGGACAAGGCGGGCAAGGCAACGGGGGCAGGGACCAAGGGAGTCGAGGAGGGGGTGGACGGGGGCGAGGGGGAAGTGGTGGAGGCCGTGGGGGAGGTTGGAGTGGTCAGGGGGGTCAAAACCAAGGCGGCCAAGGCAGCCAGGAAGGCGGCCAAGGGTACGGAAGGCCCCGCTTCGATTGGCGGAATGCAACTTGTTGGCATTGTGGCGAGGTGGGCCACACTATACGGTTCTATCAACAGCGGCGGGACGATGAGCTGGCGGGACTGATCTCCTCATGTATGGACGGGGACATATACGATAGGTGGGGGAAGCACATCGATCCCAACACCCCGGGAGGAATCAGGCAGGAAGCCCTCAGGCGAGCGGCGGCAGGGCCACCAGCCGCCCCGACAACGTTGAGAATATGGCAAGAAAGGGAGGATCCGGGTGTGAGAGTCGAGGAGATTGTGGATGAAAACGAGGAGGTGACTCAATGACTAAAGGCGGGGACTATAAAGGAAGAACCTATCGTCGTTGAGTCAGACGACAAGGGGGTGGAGGTGGTGAGAGAGTCTGCCTCGACCATCCTGGGGGGGATGGAGGACCTGCTTGCAAAGGTCGGCAGGTATCAGGAACGATTGAGGGTGATGTGCGAAGAGGCCCGGGAGTTGGAAATGAACCTTCCGGAAGTAATGCTCTATGGGTCCGGCCCGGAGTCATCATCAGGACCGCAAGGGTGTCCAAGCGTGGCGACGACCGGGGCAGGTCCTAGGTCAGGGATGACCTTCAGACCCCCTATGTCGCATGGAAGGGTGCCGCAGGCCACGCAGACTAGGGGCCAAAGTAAGGCTACCGCTAGTCAAGGGCCCAACCAGGCACCTGGCCGGGCGCCTCCTCGAAGGGAACCTGAGCCTGAACGAAGGAAAGAAGTGGTAGAGGTTCAGGAGGAGGAAGAGGAGGGTGATGACGAAGAGGATGGGAGGCTCTGACAGGAGGAGGACGGACGAGCCGAGCAGAGGGCCAAGAAGAGAGGAATTTAGGGAGGGGCGGAGCCAGGCCTGCACGGCGGCGTGCCAAAAAGGAAGAAGTACGAAGTCCGGCTGGAGGAAGGCTTTGACGTAGAGCGAATGGTGGATAAGCTTCTGGAGGGCCACAATGACCTGATGAATTTGAAGGACATCTTGGAGTCGGTACCAAGGCTCCGTGGTGAGCTGAAAGGGCGGCTCTCACGAAGGTTAGTGCCCAACGTCCACCTGAGCTCAATTCTTCCCAGGGAGATAGAGTGGACAGAGGCATGCACCGGGATGAACTGGAAATGTGTGGCATGTGGGCTGATGGATTTGAGGTGAGAGACCAGACGAGCATCGCAATGGTGGACACGGGCGAAAAGGTGAACATTATCCGGGAGCGAGATGCGACCATGCTAGGGCTGGAGGTTGACCATTCGGATCATGGTGTGCTGCATGGCGCCAACTGTAAGGCAATCTTTTGCGGCACCGCGTCTAACGTGATGGTGGAAATTGGGAGGGTAAGGGCGTGAACGTGCTTCTTCGTCATGCCCGATGTCGATCACCCTATCCTTCTGGGGATGTCGTTCCTCTGCCGAACGGAGACTTTGGTCTTCAAGAGGCATGAGGGGACGATGATCCTGACCCTATCTGATCCGGCCTGCGGGAATTATGAGATCATTAAGTGCCGGAACACATGACCTGAAAGTGGGAGGAACAGGCTCAACCTCGGCTCCTTTACCTTCGAGGAGTCTGAGTACGCACGAAGGAGACTCCGGGAGGAGCAAGAGGAGGAAGGGGCGGCCGAGGTATTATCCTTAAGCCTTAACGATGTGAATAAGACGATGGAGGTGGTGGCGGCGCATGATATGGCGGACCCTGAGGCTATAAAGGCATTGAGGGAGCAGGTCCTGGAGAGCCCTCAGGTGGAAGAGGTGGAGTTGATATATCGGCTTCCAGGAAGGAGGGGAGACCCTGCGATGGCCCAGGCCCGAACGACAAGTCGGCCTTTTTTAGGGGAGGGCTTAAGCAGGGCTCCCAAAGGCGGTACAAGACCGTAGATAAGAAGTGCCGCCCAGTCCCCGTGCTTGTTACAGAGGATGAAGAGGCCTACTATGACCGAGAGCGAGGACTGATAAGACGTATGCGGGAGCATGCGCAGGCAGGGCCGTGCCGAATCAATGACGAGAATGAGGAGAGGCTGATAATTGGCGAGTCTGGCTTCCTTTCGCCCCAGGAGAGGACCTTGATGGTGGAGACCATGAAGAGGAGGCATTGCGAGTATGCATTTAACGATGACCAGCGTGGGAGGTTGGACGTGGATAAGATCCCAATGATACGAATCCATACCGTCCCACACGAGCCGTGGAATCTGAGGGGCGCACGATATCCGAATCCGGATGAGGAGAAAAAGGTGGTGGACTACCTGGACGGGAAAATGCGGACGTACGTGGCAGACTACTCCAATGGACCGTATGCCTCCCCTTGGTTTTGCTTCATCAAGCCGAACGGGACGCTACGGTGGGTGCAGGACCTGCTGCGTTTGAATGCGGTGACGGTGCGGGACGCGGGAGGATTGTCGAACGCGGACGCCCTGTCAGAGTCATGCGCGGGGAGGCGAATAATCTCACTTATAAACCTTTATTCTGAGTATGACCAGTTTCCTGTATACCCGTCGGATAGGCCGGTGACGGCTATGCATAAGCCAAGGGGGCTGATCCACATGAATGTAGCCCCTCAGGGGTGGAGTAATGCGGTGGCAATGGTGCAAAGGCACATGATTAGGGCCATGCAGGCGGTTAGTCCACATATCACCCAACCCTATATTGACGATCTGGCGGTCAAGGGTCCAAAGGAGAAGGAGGAAGACGAGGTGATGCCAGGAGTGAGGCGATTTGTCTGGAGGTATGTCCAGGATATCGATCAGGTTCTGGGTCTGCTAGAGGAGCACAACCTTACGGCGAGTGGCCCCAAGTCGAAGCACTGTATGAGGGAGGCCACGATTCTGGGCTTTGTCTGCGATGAGAAGGGGCGGAGGCCAGATGTGAAGAAAACGGACAAGATCCTAGAATGGCCAGTCCCCTTTCAGTCGATAACGGATGTGAGAAGCTTCCTTGGGACCTGTGGGTTTTGGAGGAGTTTTGTGAAGGACTTCGCCACCAAGACGGAGCATTTGAGGAAGCTGGTGCGTCAGGATCAGGAATGGGTCTGGGGCGAAGACCAGGAAAAGGCGGTGGAAAGGATCAAGGGGGAGTTCAAGGAAGGAGGCTTGGTGCTGGGAGCGCCAAATTATGAGGCCACGGAGGAAAGGTCATTCGTTGTCGAGACGGACGCGGGGCCAACTGCCTCAGGAGGGGTCCTGATTCAGGCAGATGTGGATGGGAAGGAGAGGCCGCTAAGGTTTGAAAGTCGTACCCTCAATACGACCGAGAGGAACTACTCTCAGTTTAAGAAGGAGACACTGGCGGTACTCCATTGCCTGAGGACCTTCCGGGACTATATCTTTGGCAGAAGGCTCATTTTGAGGGTGGACCCTACTGCGCTTGCGTGTTCCCTGAAAAGTTACACTCCATCTGACCCAACCATCGCGAGGTGGTTGACTTACATTTGGATGTTTAAGTTTGAGTTGGAGAGAGGATTCCAAGGGATAAAAACAGGGCAGATGGGTTGAGCCGTATCAACTGGGACAGGGCGAATCAAGAGTCAATTGAGGATACCCCACCAGTCGACGGGTTCTTGGATCAGGAGGAGGATGTCCGCCTCCACGTAAATGAATGGTCGTTGAGGGTGCCTAGTTGCGTCACGCATCCCATATGGCTAGCACCAAAGGGGTACGAGCGAAAGGAGGAGTTGGTCTTCAAGCCCTTCCAGGAAGAAGATCCGTGGGGGAGTAGGGATGTTGGCTGGATGATGAAGTTGGCATTGGCGGGTACACACAATCTGGCAGAAGAAGTAAGGACGATTGAGGAAGGCCCAACCCAGGTAGAGGAGCATGAGCAATTAATGGGAGGGATGTATTTGCTCACTAATACGCTCCTGCAGGGGAACTTTAACCAGAGGGACTCATTTGGTCCTGAGGAGAGTAAACTTCTTGTTCCTGAAAGCCAGGACGATGAGTTCGAAGAGGGAGAGATCAGGGAGGCGTTTCGCGCTGAAGAGTATGACGGGATCTATCGGGAATTGGGGTTACTCCTGTCATGCGAGATAAGGGATAGGGACGCAAGTGCTAAAGCCCAGAAGATAAGGGATCTCTACGTAGTAAGAGATGGCCATCTGTTTATAAAGCGACAGGTTGGAAACCCCAAGAGGATCGCATGTGGGAGGAACCGGCACATCGATGTCATAGCAGCCCTACACGATGGCATAACAGGGGGGCACAGAGGGGTTAGTGCCACGTGCGCAAAGATAAGCGAGTTATACCATTGGGATGGAATGCTGATTATGGTCATCAAATATTGCCAGTCTTGTGTACCTTGCCAGCAGAGGTCAGCGCAAAGGCCTGGGGAGCCTCTGCACCCCAGGTTGGAAAGGGAAGTGGGTGCAGTCGTGCACCTGGACCTGTTGTTTATGTCACTCGGGGAGGATGGAAGTAACTATATCTTCGACGCACGAGACAACCTTACCGGGTTCGTGGACGGTCGGGCTATTCGTACAAAAACTGGCCCAGTTTTAGCAAGGTGCATCGAAGAGTACTACCTGCGTTATCCGTTTGTCAGAGAGTTTGTGATGGACCGGGGGTCGGAGTTCACCTGTAACAAGGTGCGGACCTTACTTGCGGGGTATGGCGTGGTAGCGAATTATACTACTGCCGCGCACCCCGAGGCGAACGCACCTGTGGAAAGAGGGCATAGTACCATCACAAATCTCCTGGCCAAGTGACCAGATGGGGTCCCTGAGCCAGATAGCGAAGAGATTTCAGAGCTTCCCCCTTAGGCCACCGCTATGCCTGAGAAGGAGGCAGAGGCAGAGGGTCAGGGAGCGTATGAGAGAGCGAGGGTGGAGGCACTCCTTGACTTGCCATTGGCCACGCATGCGACCGAGAGCCCAGTTATCGGGGGGCCTGCTCTAGCGGAGTCATCGTCAATGTTGCCATGCACGAGCGAGAGGATGGGTGTTGAGGCGTCAGCACCGGAGGGCCAGGGGCCGCAGGTGAGAAGAGCCTCAAGAGAAACTCGCGAAGAGAACTCCGCCAGAGTGCGGGTCCGTTTGGATGAAATACATGCGAGGCAGGCTGAAATGGAGGCGACAGGGATAGAGCCGACACCGCCGGTCGATCCCAAGACGAGTGAGCAGCGGATCGATGAGTTGTGGGGGAGGTACGAGAGCCAGAGGGATGCAGCCCGCCAGAGGTCACGAGAGACGGGGCAGGCGGACGGGGAGGCGGGAGAGTTGAGGGAGATGGGGGACTTGGGGTTTTCTGCGGCTAGGATGGCGATCGAGATCGGGGATAGGAGGATGCCCGAGGTGGCGGTTACGTCTTTCCAGCGGTATAGCCTACTCAGTGACGAGCTCACGGCCAGGAGGTTGGAGGTGGAGCACTTGGCTACCGAGCTCGCTGAGGAGAGAGCAAGGAGCCAGGCCAGGGAGGTCGAGTGAGAGAGGAGATTTGGGGAGATGGCAGCTACTGTGGACAGGCTTTCGGCAGCCTGGGGGGCTAGCCAGACGAGACGAGCCGGTGCCGATGGCCAGGGCCGGGGGATGCAGGCTTCGCCGAGTCAGGGAGCAGCGGTGGAGGCCCCTCGACAGGTCGGGCCGATGGGGGAGGAGCCCTTGGACACAGCCGAGGAGGAGGGTGGCGCACAGGAGTCGCTTATGGCTATGTCCACGGAAAGGAGAGGCTCGCGTTTGCATGAGCTGACGGCAACCATGGGGATAGGGACTCCACCGGAGAGGTCTCAGAGACTCGACACTCCGGAGTATGCCCCGAGGTTGGGGGAGCTGAGGGCGGAGCTGGGCTCCTGAGCGACAGAGACGGACTCAGGAGGACCTTACTCAGGGCGGCAGCCGCAGCAGGAGGTCATGAGTGAGCCCACTGCCATGATGGGCTCTCAGCCGTCAGGATCATGTAGGGATGAGATGGTGGTTGTGATAAAGAGGCCTCATGAGGAGGGACCCCGAGAGTTGGACACGCCAGACTACAGGCCAGTGCACACAGCCGCATGAGAGGGTGAGGGTGTTGAGGCTATGGATCCCGGACCTCAAGGCCATATGGGATTTGCCCTCGTATCATGAAGTGACCACTGAGATTACGGGGACGCCTTCAGCATCGAGTTCCCAGGGAAGAAAGAAGAAGACTGCCAGGTGGCACGATACCTCCTGTTTTTGGTGCAAGAAGGAAGGACACAGAGTCATGGACTGCCCAGAGCTCCTCGAGGATAAGGCCGAGAGGCGAGTTGCGGAGTTCAACGACAAGTTCTATGACAGGCAGGGCAGGATAGTAGAGCGAGCTCCAGATGGGGGCAGGGCTCAGTTATATAGGCAGAACCAGGAGGAATTGTGTGAGTAGGAACTGGTCTGTCTATGTGTCAGTAGGGCCAGAGTATTTAACACACAGGGGGCAGGTTGGAGGTGTATATATGTCTAGTTGGCTGAACGGGCCCTAGATGTGTGCATACCTTAGGGGTGGTAGGATGAGTCCCTGCCTGCTTATACATACATAGTTGATCGTGTTTTCTTTGAAGGGCTACGGCTTAGGACATGGGGGTCGGTCGTAGGACTCATAAGACTATTCAGTCCATTTTTTTGGGTTCCCGGTGCAGAGACTATTTGGGTTTTGAGAGAGACTTGGGTATGAGCTTTCCTTAGTTGGGTGAGACAGGGGGTTAGGCGCTCACTAGATTTTAGGTAGATGTTGTGTCCCGAGCGTGTTCCGCGAGTGTACAGTGGGGTCGGGAGCCATGCTCAGATGGACAGAGTTTGAGTTGAGTGTTTGTGTTTGAATCTTGAGGGAGACATTCAACTTCCTGAGTGTATCATGAGTTGAGATCCTATGGGATTTGTCTTGTGACGACCACTATCACTCTCACATGTGTGGCTTTATCCTGATGTATGATTGTTTTTTTGTGAGAGGTATACAGGATACATCTCATGGGCATGATTGTGTAAACTGTAAAGCTGTCTACCTGCCAACAAACAATTGGTTGATAGATCACTCGCAGCTGGAACAGCAGGGCCGGGCCCTCCCTTGGTGTTCGCGTTGTCTGTCGGGCTTCCCAACGAAGCTGAGAGCGGAAACAATAGAACATATTTTTCTACAATGCCCGACAGCAGTTCTAACCTGGAGATGGTGGGATAGAGTGTGGCAGCAAATTGTTCCCGGACATCAGTGGCCGTGGGATTGGCGAGCCATTCTCTTGGGCCACTACACGCCTCTCCAAGGAGACACTTTTGCCTGGAACATGTTCCAGTTGGGCAGAAGAACGGTCCTATGGGTCTTATGGTGGCAACGTCATGCTTTGGTGTTTGACCAGGTTCGAGTCGAGGGTGAGGAGAGGGTAGAACAGTTTAAGCAACATATACAAATGGAACTGGAATTCAGATGGAAGTCTGTCAAACTCACCCTTGACACTCTCCACAGGGCAAAAGACATCGAGGACAGGATAACACAGTTCTCCAAGGAATGGCTGGGAGGGGATCGAGAGGGGTGGGTAGCAGAGGTAAGATGGTCAGGGGAAGGGAATGAAGATGAGGGAAGGGAGGGAGGACAAGGAAGGATAACAGTGTCACGAGACTATCGATTAAAGTTTAAAGATTGGATGACCATCGACTGCAGCGTTCCCTTGAGACCAGCAGAGGACTTTCCGGACCCATTCCCGCCCCACCCACTGTCCTTGGAATTACGACTGATGGGATAACTTTCAACCTTCAGCGGGATGGTGAACCTGTGCAGTAAAACCTCTGGTCTACAGAGTAATCAATGCAGGCAGGCACTACTCTGTATATTCATTCTGTAAAAAAAGGGGTTCTCAGACAATTGGTGTCGCAGTCAGTTTCGTTTTGTTTAGACTGTGTTCGTCTTTGGGTTACCCAATTTTAGTAGTTCAATTGTGCTGTATTGTGCTGTATTGTGTTGTATTCTGCAACATTTCATCAGGGCAGGAGTCGAAGTGCAGGTTCCGGGGCAGGGAGATGGAAGGAGTACCCACTGGTGGCCCCCAGTGGCTCCTCCCGGAACCCTGACCGGGCACAGGGGTAGAGAAGGAGAAGGGGACCACCAGCTGTCAGGTCCACGGCCCGGGTCACTTTCACACCTGCTCAGTCAATCCTCTGGTTTCCAGAGCAATCAATGCTGGCAGGCACCCTCCAGCCACCATCCAATTTTCCTTCTATGTATCATCTGTATCATACTGTATCAAACTGTGTAAGGGACGCTGGACCCGTTTTCCAGCAGGTGATGCTCCCCACCAATAGATGGAGCCTCTCCCCAGGTGCTAGCGATGTCTGCTCGAAACAGCACCGCTAGCACTGGAGGGTTTTGTTAAAAAAAAAAAAAAAAAAAAAAAAGAAAACAGGTTACCTCGAAGATGATTCCTCTTCAAATCAGGGACATATATCCTTCCCCGCTGGTGAAGCTGCAGTCCTCTGATGATTTAGCATGCAAAATGAAGTCGTCTCCCCATTCCTCTGAGGATTCAGAGCAATTCTTCCATTTTTCCTTCCACCACTCCCAGATTCCTTTGGACAATGGGCAGTGCAACCACAGATGGGCTGCATTCTCCCAGCCCCATTCACAACGAGCGCACGTGGTGGGTATGTCCATCCCCTTGGAATTCAACCATGTCGCCGTAGCTGTGATTTGCAGTGATTGTAACCATTGCAGTGACGCCTGTTTCTGTGAAGGGACTTTTTTTAAAGCCTTCCACAGCTTGAAGAGATCATTTCCTTGGATAGCCACATTTTGGCATTGCGCCAGCCTTCTCTGTGCTGTCACTATAGGCTTCTTGACGACTTTCTGATGTTGGACGCCTACTTTTGGTTTGAAAATACTTTGCGACAACTGGCTGTGGCCAATCCTACTGGTCCCCCTGCTTCTTTTTTTTTTTTTTTTTTTAATTTAATAGAAGTGCATCAACATTTCATTTCAATGGAAAAGTGAGGTCCCCCTGCTTTTGGCCGTGGGCGCCTGCTGGAGATTGAATTAGTCATGGGGGGCAGTGGTGGTGTAAGTGTCAGGGCCTCGCCACACCACAAAATTCAATGCATCTGCCGCAGAAAGTGGTACGATGCATCCATTGCTATTCATGGTAACGGATGCATCTTGCCCTCCTACGCGGGAAGATGCATTCTCTCGTTTTTCATTTTGACAGTGGTGTGGCGAGGCCCTCAGACTCTGACACGACGACCTAAAAGTATTAAAGAAAACAAAAAAAACAGAAAGTTATGGATGCTCTGGCAGTTCTCCAAAGGGTTCAAATATGGGGACTGATCTAGAGGGGTTAAACTGCAAAATGCCCCGCAAAAAAATGAATAAGGGGGTCTTGGGGTCTGGTCTAATTTTTAGTCGTCTGACAAGGTGCACAAAAGGGGTCCAATTTGGGAACTATTGACGGGTCAACATCTTTTTTTTTTTTTTTTTCACGATGGTTATTGTCAAATGTGTGAAGTATAGGTGATATATGATACGATATGGTCCGATAGCTGAATTTTCAACCATGATGATTTGCAATATGATATGCTCAGATCGCCGAATTTTCATAACGGTCCAATCTGCGAAGTCATTATGATCACCACACCACTAGGTAAAGCAAATCTGAGCCAAGGATCGACTGTTGTCTTTTCCTTGATATTCTTCTTCTTCTTCTTCTTCTTCTTCTTCTTCTTCTTCTTCTTCTTCTTCTTTTTTTTTTTTTTTTTTTTTTTTTTTTTTTTTTTTAAGTTGTCTTTCCCTCATCGGGGGAAAGCCATATATTTTTCTGTCACCTCCATATTTTTTTTAACTGGCATTTTGCCATGTCATGGAACATTTCTTTCTTCACTACCTACCTACCACTACTCCTAAGGCTATACAGGGGTCCCCTGCAAGCATAGCTTTCTACCTCTCTTCGGTGAAGAGAGATTACCTCTCTCGGTGTAGAGAGGTAACGGCATGTTTGCCCCGTTGCCCTAGCATTTAGGGTGCAGGGTTGGGGCCGCCGGTGGGGCCCCGGCTAACACAAGGACAGCAGGAGGGATTGGAAGTTTCTTTTCTTTTTTTTTGAGTGGTCATGAGGGACGCTGGTCCCCGTTTCCAGCAGGTGCTGCCCCCCACCAATAGACGGAGTCTCTGTTTAAAAAAAAAAGAAAGAAAGAAAGAAAGAAAAAAAAAGAGGGACTTAGGAGGGATTTGCAGTGTTTTTGTTTTGTTTTGTTTGTTTCTTTGTGTTTCTTTTTGCTGTAGCCATGAGGGACGTAGGAGGGTTTTGCAGTGGTCATGAGGGAGTTTTTTTTTTTTTTTTTTTTTTAAGTCCAAGGTGTTGTAGATGCCAGTCACTGAGTGCACAGTGATCACTTGGAACTGTGAGCCATGGGTGTCCAGGAAAATGAGACCACCTCCCATCCCATCCTCACGTCAATACTCCTAGCGCACCCCCTATCCCACTATCCTACCTCAGTGTGACCAGCACTCAGGACCATTGTCCTACCATTGGGTAGGCAACTTGGACCGAACAGCAGTGATAGGCACCAGGGCTGATAAGCTGCCCAGCCCTGGTGGAAGCGGAATCGGACGAACCTTGTCGAACGGGAACTTTGGACGCCACCGAGACCTGCCAGTAGCTGTGCCTCCCTTTCTCATCGTCCCCCACCCTTCATCAAGTAGCAGCAGAGGCTATGCCCAACACTCTCCCACACATTCCTCGTCCGTTTTCTTTTTTGTTTTTTTGCCTCCTTGCTACCACTGTCCGCGCGTTTCCACACCACCAGGACATCGTGCAGTCCTTTTGCCCTGTTTCCATGGGGCCACCAGCTCCCTCCCCCATTGCCATGCCAAGCCTTTGCCGAGGCGCGGGAAACGCGTAGCGTTAACGCTAAGGGCCCGCGGCCGATGTATGGGCCAAGTACTGGTGGTTTAAAAGGGACAATCATAGCAATAATTAAGCAAGGGGGCTGCTGAAATAGGGCAGGGCTGAT